TGATTAAGTTAATCTGATTTTTTTCTTTTCTTTCTTTCCAGCCAAACAATGTTGTTTCTTGTTACAGTCCATGTCGATTATAAACTAAAAAGTAAATAATCAGTTCTTTTCAATCTCCCATGTCCTTTTTTTTCTTTGTCAAATTAATTCTCACCTAATTATTGGAATCCCATTTACAAATAATTATATATATATATATGTAAATTAATTACGGACATAAAAATCATCTTGAACTACATATTATTTAAAAAAATCACATTGTAAAAATAAAAAATTATTTGAAATATAGTTTTTAAAATAATAAATTCAATTATAATTTCAGCTTAAACTAGAGATTTCTGAATAATTTCCTATTAAATTAATATCTTATATCAAGTTAGATCCAAAATTAATTTAGTGTTTAAGGGTCATAATTGAAAATTTCAAGGTCAAGGATTGAAATGGGTTTATGTATTAATACTCTCAAGTGGACTTTATGTAAGTTAATATTTACGTATAATGAAAAAGAAAAAATTATTGATTCTCAAATGTAATTTCATTAGTGTATTGACTGTTTAAACTTTTATTTTTAACTATTAATTAATTATATATCAAATTTAAAAATGAAAAATAATTTTAAATATAATTAAAAGTATATATTACAAGGGAGAATAAGGGAAAATTAGATAAGATATGATGGCATTACCAAATTTTTGTTGGAAAACATAATATTAGTGTCAAAATTGATAGTTATAATGTTATATTTGGTTAAATCTTATTATATTTTTATTTAATCCCTAAATTTATTTATATCATAATTTATTTAACATTTTAAAAAATTATTTTATTTTATTGTTGTATTTAATACGTAATTTTAATAAATTATATTTATGCTTTTAATTATTAACTGTGGATTTTTATTTTCACAAATTAAAGAAGAAATGGAAAAAAAAATGTCTTACTTGAGTTAGACTTTAAACTAAATAGTAATAATAATAAATTATAGAAATAAAATTGTAATTTAATTTTTATGGGAAATCTTAAATTAGGAAACTTGAGTCAAATTTCAATGAGGTTTGGATTTTCTCCCTTTTTAAGTAATTATATACAATGAATGGTCAATACATATATAAGTTATGTAGTAACTCTCAAAGTTGTAATGCAAGAATTTATAGAATCATATCACTCTCAATTTTAAAGAATCATTATTTAGTAGACAAATTTTTTGACATTTTTATTTGTTCTTTTATTATAAGAAAATTAAAAGACAAAAAATTAAGGGCAAAATATCTGTTTGTTTTCTGAGACAGGCAACAGCAGGAGGAGGAATAACATAAATAAATTAATATTATAATATTATATATATATATATATATATATATTATTTCATGTGTGACTTATAAACCTCGTGTTGTTTTCTCGTTGTAACCTGCTGCCTACCGCTGCTGGTGTATTTTGTGTAGAGATAAAGGAGCAACGGGTCTTATTCTTCCAAGGAATCCAATCTGGTAGATTCAACGACACCAAAAACATAATCTTCGAGAATTGAGTCTCTTAGATTTTGCTCCACAACTCCTTGATTCTTTTATAGTAAGTCACTTTTTCAATCCACCCAAAGACGCCATTTTTATTATCTTCGTGTTTGTTATCTCTATCCTCACGGCTCTTCAACTTGGCTTTGTTGGAGATTGGTCTTTTTCATTAATGGGTTATGAATTGTTGAGGCTTTTCCCAAATGGGTATAGCTTGGAGTTCATCATCATTTCGCAGAGTAGGTCTATCTATCGGCAGATGAGTTTTTTTTTTTATGAAATAGGATGTGGGCGTTCTTCGCTGATTTTTCCATTGGCAATATAAGATAGACCGCTTTCTATTTGGCATTAGTTCAGATTTCTGGTTTGTTTCCTCAATGGAGAACGCTGTATTTATGGTCTTGCTTATAATGTTGGATGTGTTTACGAGTTGTTTTTAACTGGCATTGGTTTGATTGGTAAATTTAGCCGCCTGGTGCTTGTATCGTGTTTTGGATTGATTAGTCTTCTTGGATAAGAGAGGTTTGCTTTGAAAATTGCCGCAGAAGTATAAGGGAATTTTGCCATTGACCACGGTTTTGTGGTTTTTGAAAAATTGGGCTCGTGTAAATTGAGATCAACGGGAATTTCTGTTTCTTTTTCTCGGTGTTTGAGCGTTTCAGCTCGGTGGGAATGGTGCTTACTCTGTGATTCATCATTGGTCCCAAATGTTAAAGGTTATTTGATTTTGTTCATTTCTCGATTTTTGAATTCATGGAAGTAGTGTTCTTGAGGTTTACAGTGGTGAGAGCTGGAACAAGAAAGAAACTTTGTTTTGTGAAACTTGGATAAATTTGTTTCTTCGGTGGAGTACAAATGGATCTGTTGGTTGTTGCAGCAGCAGCAGCCGCTGGCTACGCAGCTAAATATTGGCAGAATCTTTCAAGAGGAAGGGATAATTTAGCAGAGTTGTCTTCAGGGGATGTCAAATATGCGAAGCCTAATTCTCCCAGCCATCCCTTGCAGAGATTGCCACGGAGAAAGAAACTAAAAGAAAATATTTCTACAGATAAAAGAAAAAAGGCAGAAGGGAAATTTTCAGATACTTATCAATCCGATGGTGCCTTAGAAATAGAAGTGACCTCCACTAGTGGACAAAACTATGGAAATTACAGTGACTATAATGCATTTTCTTTGTCTTGTCTACAACCTGGGTTCTCGATGGATGAAGATCCCAAGGAAAAAGAAGATTTAAGTGAGTTGAGTGGTCACGTTGGGGATGCTTGCAGTGAGCCTTCTATAAGTGAAATAGAAATGGGTTCTTTTCATGATTCTGTTAGGAAACTAAGTTCTATCAGGAATAGGAGGCCATATGGACATCCTCCCAAACCCTTGAGTTCTTTAGAAAGTTGCTTCATGGCCCAACTATACAAAGAACACATCAAGATGGAAGAGTATGTACTTAGTTCCCTTCCATCACCATCAGCACCAACTATGAGACCATTGCTAGTGACTGATGGAAGGCAAATAATCAGTAGAGTAAAGGTTCATTCTTTCAGTAGGCAGCCGGAAACTAGGGATAAGAAGCTCAGTAAAGATGTCCATTTGGGGAAGAATAAATATGTGTTTGGGATTCCACCACTACCAAAAATTGATTCTTTGGATCTCTCAAAGAAAATGAAATGTAAAACAGCCAAGGGGTGTGGTGGTGGAAAATTAAGCAATTTCAGCAAGATGGTCACTGGAAAGAACTTCTGTTCGCAAGGTAGTACACAATTCTCAGCTTATTTACAAACTGCTATTCCGTGTGTGTCTGTGTGTGTGTGTGAGTTGTTGTCTGGTTTTGTTGTTAAAGTTCACATACTTTCTATAACTTACCTATATGTGACTGTTTTCTCGGGAATTAATAGATAGAGTGCACCAAGATCCTTTAGATTTTGGAGGTTGTTTTTGATGCACTCTGTTTTTTTTCCGTTATTGTGTTTTGTATTAAATGCGCAAAAGAATCTAAAACTATGTCCTTCCTCTCGAAAAAGGAAAAAGAAAAAACATTTACTACCCCAAACTATAGCTGCCTACATTCGTTTCTGAAAACAGTATAAAACTGGGAAAGGAGAAAGTTTTACATCAAGTAGATCTACCTCATCTAGTTGTAAAAATTGTTTTTTTTTTCTTTGGGATTCAGTTTCTTGGTAATTAACCTTTTCCTAGTAAATAATAACTTAGTGTTTGCTAGAAAAAAGCATTCTTTATTTCTACCTTCAGAGGAAAAGCCTTTCAGGGAATCATCATAATTCATGAATATGCAGTGTTGTCTGCAAGTACAACACAAGCAGTTAGTCCCATGCATGCCACACCTTACAGATTGATGTATTTTTGCCATTGTAATTCAAATGTAAAATGTTGAAAAGAGGAGTCTGTCATCCAGCCTTCATCTGTATTTGGCTGCTCAAATAGCATGGTGATAGGAGCAAATTGTTTCATTTAAGCACGACCACTTTTGGCATGTCAGCATGTGCTTGTCATAATTTTCGATTTTTTAATGATCTTCATCTGATTGCTAATAGATTTCCTTCCTAATGCTTTCATTTTCATCAGATTTGCAGAATGGAACAGTTCTATTCTCTCTGGGAATTTCTGTCGGGATAGTAGCTTCCTTGATAGCAAATAAAACGGAAGTAGACAAGTTGAAAGAACTGCTAAAGCAAACAGAGAACTTGGTGCAAGATCTACAAGAGGAACTTGAGATGAAAGATTCATTAACAGTAAGGGAGCTAAAAAATGAAAAATTATGAACTACAGGATACATATCCTTGTTCCTTGCACGAGAGGGCCCCATGTTCATCTTCCCCTCAACGGAGTATGAACATCTCAAGAAATGGTAAAGAACTGTATGATGAAAAGGATGGGGAAACATTAGAATCTATGAGTAAAATTGAAGCAGAGCTTGAAGCTGAATTTGAGAGGTTGGGACTCAATGTCAACACATCTAGCTTGGAGATAAGATTGTCTGATATTATTGAGGTATGCCTACTGCTGAATCATTATACCATTGCATGTGATTGCATGTTTGTCTGCATCAGTATTCAGTTGATCACTGATTGTCTGTTGAGCATGCCACTCATCAGTAACTCAAAGGAGTTCTCAATTTAGAAATTGAATGTCAATAATATTTCATTCTTTTGACTCTATTCAGTTTTTTTAGCACTGATATATAATAGCGTTATTTTGGGAATCAATTTGGCATTGATTTGATGTAGTGAGCCAAAAGTTCTGTATGAGTATATGTCAGTCAGCCCAGGTGTGGGCTTTATGATACAGTATGCTATGCATCAATTTATACTTGTTCTTCAAGATATATGTTGTGTTTTGCTACTTCTACTCCAATGAATTTTGGTTCTAGGATGCATGATATGTGCTATCAAGTTTGTGCATATTTTATTTGTGCTACACATACTGCAATAGTTTTTGTTTCACTAGAAACGCATGTCTGTTTGGAATGTTAACTAATGTAGAGTAAGTTATTTCCTAGTTGATTTTCTGTTGCTCCTGCTCCGTATTCCCAAATCTAGGGATTGCAGGTGGCATGTTTTCCTCTTTTTCGTTCCATAGATCTATTGCTATATGTTGGAAGTTCACTCTTAACAATTTGTTAAACTTGTCTATTGATCTAGTTTAGCGGTTAGATAGAGAACTCTGCCTTTCTTGTTGCACAAGGAAATGGTTCAAATATGCAAATCATTTTGTCAGGGACTAGGTAAAAATCAGAAAGTTTCTAATCTTCAGGGTTTTGAACTTTCAACTCAGCTTTCTTGACCAGAACTTAGCAAATAAAGTTTTTGATTTCCTTGTCATGGGGAGCTGGCTTCCAAGGAGCTCCTTTAATTGTTAGATCAGCTTTTGGCAAGCTTACCGTGGAAACATCCCTCTCTACTTTATATAAGTGTTTCTCTTGCACTCTTGTAGAACATGCGGAAAAGAAGATGGAGGGCGAAATTTTTCGAACTTCATATTATTATTAAAGATATGTTTTAGGTTATTTAACTGTTGGCTTGGATCATTAAGTCTCTATGAAACTGTTGATTGCTGTTCATCCTTCATATACATTTTATTGTAACAGATATCAATTGGAATTTCCCAACACCTTGGTTTTGTGAAGTGATCTTCTTTGGTCTTGTGAGTGGATTTGTACCAACATTGCTTTAGACTTCTCTTGTATTTTCACCTTGCTTACATTGTTCGAAAGAATATGATTTCTTGACACGGATAATTGCATCACGCAGATGCAAAGACTAATAATTTTTTATAATTCTTTTGCAGCTTGAACCTGACTTTGTAGCAGATTTTGCCCAAGGTGAATTGAGAGTTAACAAACTCAATGGGCAAGTTGCTCTATCTGAATCCAAGAAAGAAGCCAGTGACACATCCACAGTCCACTCTTGCAATTGTGCATTTTCCCCCCGTGAACTGAGCTTGCGTCTGCATGAAGTTATTCAATCTAGACTCGAAGAACGTGTGAAAGAGCTTGAGGGAGCACTTCAAGAGAGCCAGAGGAAGTTGGAGTTCATGGAATCACAGTGTAGGAATTCATCAACAAATTCGTGTACAAATGGAGAAGCCCGCTACATCCTCCCCCAAGAAATTCCAACCAGGGAACAGGAATCCAACTCAATGGTCGAACCTCTGGTCATGAATTTATCAGGGGAAGCCCTAGACGCATACAATGAGGCTTATGAAGAGTTGATGAAGCTAAATGAGTCAGAAGAAGAGGGTTCACCATCAACGATAAAGGAGAACAACCAAGACTCATTTGACAAAGGCACTTCGTGGGCACAAAGCTCCCTCATAAACGGTTCATTATCTAACAAAGATAAAACATATTTTTCTAGCCAGCTAAGAAATATAGAAGTTCCATCGTCGAGTATTCAGGAGCTCCTACAAGTTGGTGGTGGCGCAAGCAAAGATCAAAGCAGTGACTGTGATGATGATGAGATGGAGAAGATGCTGATACAACAAATTGTGGAGAGAACCAAGAAAGGTTCACCTGTAGTAATGGATGCACACAGGGTACTGCTTTCAATGACTGAAAATGAGAATTGAAACTAAACAGAAGGCAAATTTTGGTGTATAGATAGATAGATATATATATATATATATATATATATATAGGTGGATTCATGTTCCAAACAAAACCAATATCACGCTTATTTTGTTGACTCTTCCATTGAGTTGGATGAATTGCATTGAAAAGGAGCAAATGTTTCAAATTAATTAATTTTGGTCAAATTTAAAAAGGAACCTGAGAATTATAAGAATAGAAAATGTTGATTCTTTGAGTTTTATACAAGGTTTTAAGTAATGTAATAACTTGCATTTATACTTTTTTGACTTAAATTGTTCAGGGTCAAAATTTATTAAGGAGAAAGAATGTTTTTCTAATCTAAAGACTTTAATTTAATGACTCAATTTACCAATTAATTTGCAAATAATGATAAAATTTATCAACTCCATTATTAGACCTTTGATTTACATATACATATATATATATAGATAGGTCCTACACCTGCACACACTTTTATATATAGACAGAAAAAGACTCAGCATCAAGATTTGTTTTTGCTTAGCCAGAAAACAAAAGAAGATTTCACCACTTCCCAACACTGTTTCTTGCACCACAACTATTTTTTTTTTAATAACCTATTTGGATTAGGAATCAAGTAATTTTGAATTAGGAAACTAATTTTGTTTATAAAAGTTTAAATTTAAACTTTATTTCACGTTTATAGTAAATTTAGAATAATTATACATTTGTTAGTTTGAGTCAAAATTATTTTTTAGAATTAATTATCACCTACTTTCAAAAAATAAAAATAACTTTTTTAAATTTAACTCTCCACTAAATTTAAATATTATGAATTTTAAATCCCACTATAATAATCTAATAATTAATCTCCTAACATTCCATAATGATTAATTTTTTTAATTATAATAATCACAAAGAAATCATATCCAATCTTTTAATTTTTTTTTTAAAAAAAAATTATTTTTTCCTTGAAGAAGTAATTTAATCCTTATCAATGGAGCTACCTACCATTCACAATTTGCTTTAGCATACAAGTCACTCCAACGAGATGTTCTTCTTATTCCAATAAGAACACTCATTAATCCTTCCATAACAACTCGAGACAATCAGACTTCTTTTCTCAAAATATGTAAACCAGCAGAGAATATATTCCCTGTATAATGATAAAAATTTCTCTTCTTTTTTCAATCTGTCAATGGTTATCATTGCCAAATATAAAACACCCTCTCGAAGACCAAACCCTAGAAATATAAAAATGCTAATAGAAACACAAGTGTTACCATAAAACATGGATGATTTGAGACATAATTATTTCCTAATTAACTCCAACTTTTCTCCTTCACAAAATACTCTAAGAATTATCCAGCATCAATGAAGGATTAACAATGTAAAAAGGAAATGTTCAGAGAAGCAGGAGGGCGCCTACCAAAGACCAAGAGAAAAGAAAAAGAACCAAAAACAATCTTCTAGCGGTAACTGGAAGATGCAGGCCCTGTAGCTTTCCAACTGGAAAGGAACTCTTTTAGGCTCTTTTGGCTTCACTGGTATCATCATCATCCCTCCAGTTTCCAGTCGCGGGTTCACCCTGACCATGATCTCCAGAGGTATCATCCAAGTTGTTGCTCTCACTGCTGTCAAATTGATCTCCGCTGCTCAAATTTTCACTCCCACCAAACTGATCGCCTCCAGTAAACTGATCGCTACTGCCAAATTGGTTACCACCACCATATCCCAATCCGGCACTTCCGTCAAATCCACCACCAGTACCTCTGCTAGCGCAGTTGTCACTACCACCGGCACCACCTGCAACACCATAATTCACGTTCCCACCACCATAGTTAGTACCAGTGCCAAAGGAGTTATCGGCTCCCTCACTGCCGAAACCGTTGTTCCCGTAGCTGTCACCACTACCACCATAAGGAGAATTGCCTCCATAGTTTCCACCAGAAGCGCCATAACCACCACCAGAAGCGCCATAACCACCACCAGGAGCACCGTAGCCACCACCATAACCGCCACCATAACCACCAGAACTGCCACCAAATCCTCCTCCATAACCTCCTCCGAAACCACCTCGAGCTCTATCGTTGGCATAATTAACCCTGACACGACGACCGTGAAGATCCTGCAAGAAATATTAAGAAAATAAATAATTATTATCTCACAAAATATCAAGATATAGTTTCTTGTATTCTTCTATCAAAGTTTATCTAGAAAATATTTGGTTCAGAAGATTTTGAAGCTTAGGAAATCAAGGTTAAATGCAGTGGTGGACAGTAAACCGCCTTTTTTTAAAAAAAAATAAACAGTAAGCCGCCTTATTATAAGCAAACATTGATACGGATACCAGTATCAACAATTTACAATATGTGCTTGAAGGGCCACAACATCTAAACACACCATCTACTTGTATCAATCATAGATCAGCAACCATACCTGTCCATCCAAGGCCTGGATGGCACTAGAAGCTTCTTCACTAGAGGTATAAGTAACAAAGCCAAAGCCTCTTGATCTGCCCGTCTCACGATCAACAATAACTCTTGCTACAATATATACAACATTAATGAGCACCAATTGCCAGAATTCACAAAGGAAATACCAGATAAGCTATTACTGCTTGTGCATATAGCTATGTAAATCCACACCTTCAACTTACAAGAAAACTGAGGCACATAATTACTTAAGCCTCTGAATACAATAATTATTTAAGCCTCTCGAACACTATTGTGGCACTCTAAATCTTAGTTCAGGTATGTTTCAGCATTTTTCCTATTTCTCAGGACAGAGGATGGTTGGGTGTTAACCATCAGTTTAGCTAAAGCTGAAGAAAAAACAAACAACAGGAGAATTTTTAAAGGTTAAGCAAAATAAGTACCATCAACAACTTCACCATATTTACTAAAAGCTTCTCGCAGACTCTGCTCATCTGTGCTGTATGAAATACCTGCAACAGAAAGTTTAAGATAACACATACACAGAGTAAAAAATCCTAACTGAAACTCAGATAGAAACTGGACACACCTCCAATAAAAAGTTTTGAAGAGGACATGTATCGAATTGCTTGATAGATAGAAGGTTTAGATGCGGAGAGCTCAGTATTTAACTGCATGCTTGCAGTCTGCCTCAGTATGTTTCCAACTTTACTAAAGAAAGCCATTATGATAACCTGAAACAAAACAAATTAATGAACATTCTGTCAATTAGTATATACAAATGTAAGATTATCACCACAAGACCACAGAACTACAAATCTAGAAAACTAAAACAGAAATATAACTAAATAATGAGTACACTAAACTACATATGACAGTTACCAAGCCAACATAACTCTTCAAAATAAATTAGTTTCTCAAGTAAAGATAGCACATACACCATCAGAAATGAAAGCACATATAATTTATTAAAGCAGTAAATAAGGAAGAACCAAATCTTTACAGTAAAAGACGAGCAAATGCCCTTCAAATATTCTGTTGAGGAAAGATGGGAAAGAAGAAAATTCCTAAAAGTTCAAACCTCTCTTTTGTTCACTAACACCCAAAATTCATTACCAAACAGAAACGCGGGTTTAAGGTTGTATGGCTCTCGAAAATAAGAATACCTAAAAACTAGGAATACCAATAAGAGAGTACAAATATTTCATATAAATGTCTTCTGTTTCTAACTCTTTCATTTTCTCAAGAACCAAACAGAAATGATAGAATTAAATATGAATATTTTATTATTGAGCAATAGATCCTAACAGAGAACAACCCGTGCAAGCATAATTACCTAACAAGTTAAATCAAATCCAACAAGTGCGGATCGACGAGAAAAATGATAAAATCAGTTGATAACTAAAATATAAAAGCGAAAGAAAGCAAAATAAGGGAAGGCAAAGATGGATCGAGAGGGTAAACTATAGACCTTTCGCTTGCTAGGGTTTATGAGAATATAGATTCTTAAAGTACCTCTTCTGCTCCTCGGCTTTTCTCGCTCTCGTTCTCTGTAGTAACTATTGACTAAAACCCTATTAATCGAAGCGGGGTTTATGTATGCGGGTTGCAGAACGAAGGGTGAGAGAGAACCGATCTAGGCCGTTGGTTTTAGGTGGAATGCTCGTTATCGTTGATTATAAATATCTCGTTTCGGATCAAAATGAAGGCTTGCCCTAGTGTGATTGAGAAATTAGAATTAATATTTGAATAAATTAGTTCTCTAAAATTAATTTTATATCTGATTCAATATAATTATATTTGTGATTTCTTACTTAACATATAAAAGTACAAAATTTTAATTATTTAATTTAAAATAATTATAATTTTTTTTATATGTATTTAAATAAAATCATAAATTAAATGTAAATAAATATCGAAATAAAATATAATTTAATTTAATTTATTATATAATGTATAAATATAATATTAATAAATATAATAATCAATACATAATATAAATTTACTAGATTATTTGGTTGATTTTATTGAGATTAGTTTACAAATCATGATTTATTAGAAAAGGTAGTAATATTAATCCATATATGTAGAGTCACCATTCAATTACTAACTCAATAATACAATGAAAAGGAATCTTTTTTACCACTGTTATTATTTACTTTTGTGTATTAAAAGACATGTTTACATCCATTAGTTTACATTTGCCTACTACGGGAACATATTATTTAGTGGTTACTATCAAATGAATCATCAAAATACTTTAGTTTAAGATAAAAAAAAAAAAAAAAAAAAAAAAATTATTAATAGATACTTTCTTAAATTATATGTATTTATGCATATATTTATTATAAAACTATAAAAAATTATATATTCATAAAATAATTAGAGTAAATTACTTATATTATTTCATAAAATTTGATACCAGCACAGGTGGAGGCAAAGGAAGGAGCAGTGATGGTGGTAAACGGTGTTGTGGTCAGAGAAAGTGATTGACTGGGAGGGTGAAGTGGTTCAATAGCTTCAAGAGATTTGGATGGATAACTCCAGATAATGGTGGGGAGACATCTTCTTCCACGAGACATCCATTGATTTTGAGGACATTGAAAGCCTTCAACGGAGCCATCATAAGGTTGAGTTCTTAATCGATGATACGGGCGATGGTATCAAGGTAATCAATGTCATTGTAATCCCTGACGGACACTATTCAAAGACCAGCACAAGTGGAGGCAGAGGAAAGAGCAGTGGTGGTGGTGTATGGTGTTATAGGTGTGTTGGGAAGGGGCATATGGCAAGGGATCATAAGGGTCAAGGTGGTGGTGGTGGTATATGGTGTTATAAGTGTGGTAAGAAGGGGCATATGGCAAGGGATCATTCAAGGTGGTGGTGGTGGTGTATGGTGTTATAGGTGTGGTGGGAAGGGGCATATGGCGAGGGATTATGAGGGCGAGCGTCGTGGAAACTGCTACAACTGTGGGCAGAGGGAGCATTTTGTCCTAAATTACAAACATTGTTCTTTAAGTAGCATAGGAACTAAGGTGTTTTTGTAAGTTTTGAATATTAGATATGTAAATGATAACATCTTTCGATTTGGTACTAGTTGGGTTTGATATTTTGGTATATGGGTCACCTCAGATTTTGGCTAATTAGTTGCTAACTTAGATGATCTGGTTCATCATGGAGCTCTCATGTAACTTCTCTTGTGTTTCTGAAAGATGATATGTTGATATACTAATTCTCTCTTTTGTTTTTACTTTTGGCTTTTTGGCTTGAAGTGGGTCTTTTGCCTTTGGTTGGACCAAAGTCGTTCATTGTGGGTTGCAAGTTCAGCAAATTAACAAGAGAAGAGGATAAAATATAGTAAGTTTCTCAACCATCTTCTATGTTTATTTTCTATTTTGGTTCCGTCAAATTTCAAATTAAGGAAATATAGAAAGATGGGTATCCAACCCACTTTCATAACACTCCAAAGAGAGCTTCAGTCACATAAACTTCACATCTCTATCTTAGGTAGAATAAGTTTGGATGAACTTGAAGCTTATTCGTATGTTCTAAGTTGTCTGTGTCATTCCTTTTGTTTAAATATATTATGCATGCAGATATTCTCATTGTCTTGTTCAGCCCCTTATTGATTTGGTAATTCCGTTTTGTTTCATTTCATATTCCATTTTAAATTTACACAGTTGTCCATGGTGAAGATGACTGGCAGTAATTCGCAGTCAGGTAAGTCTAAATCCATAAATCCTGAACCAACTTGGAAAGTTTTTAACCACAAGAGGAAACATATTAGGAAAATAATTTCGATTTTGGATTGAGTTATAAAATTGCAAACACTTCCGATTTATATCCCAAGAACATATACATATATATTTAAAATTTTGTATCCTTACAGTATATGATTCAAGAAGTTGGTGTATTCTTAGTAGAGAGGTTTGACGACGAAGATGAAGATAAGGTTAATATGTGCAGTGCTTTTACATGCTGTGATTTTTAGTATGCAAAACTTCGTTAGTGGAAGAATGTAACGCCCGGCTAGCCCAATATTTCCTTCGACCCAATCCAAAACACCTAATCCCATAAGCCAAGCCCCAAGCCTTGCACCAACACCCTCTTTTTTCTTCTTCCCACCTGCAACCCAACAAAGGGGATGAGTTTAGTACAAAGAGAGGAGAGGAAGCTCGAGTGGAGGAGGAGAGTGGTGGCCTAGAGAGAGAAGGAGAGAGAGAAGAGTGATAGAGAATACTATAAAGATACTGGAGGGAACAGTGAGATCGAAGGAAGCTGGAAGAGTGTTATAATAGTTGTTATATTTGTTTTGTGTAATTTTGTATAATTATAGGGTTATATTTGTAATTGAGCATAAGTTAATCTTTATGTATAAATACCCACACATGTACTATTTATCATAATTGAAGTAGTTTTTGTAATACCCGATCCCAGAATTTAGTCTGAAATTAATTTTAAAATTAAAAGATCTAAAAAAATCTAATTTTAAAATTAATAAAATTTAATTTAATATAACATTATTGAAAAAATAGGTTGAGAATGAAATTGAAAATAATTTTGAAAAAAAAGAGTGAAATATTGGATTCGAAATGTATTTTTGAAAGAAAAATTAGAAATTAGGTGTCAAAACGCAATTTAAAAAAATTGCGGCACGTAGGATCGCCTAGTCAGCAGCCTCGACGAACCAGAGCGTGCAGCGTGGCAAGGCACGTTAACTCGGTGCCACGCAAGAGACCACGTTGGCAATCCGCGTATGCCACGGTTGGATGGTCCGGAGGCATTCCCGCGGGCATGGACAGTTCGAATCTATTCCCTTCTCAGGCGGGATTGGACGATTGTGATTAAATATGATGAACAGTCCAGATTCGTTCTATTTTTAAACGCAATCGGACGGTCGAAATCAAATCGCAAGAACGGTTCATATTCATTTTCTCTTTAAACACGATTCGACGGTCGAGATCAAATGCAAGAACGGTCCAGATTAACGCGAGATGGGTATAAATATTTCGCATCACACCAAACTCAAATCCTAGCCATTAACCTCCCACCGGAGAAGAAGAACTAGTCACCGGAGAAAGGAGCCAATCACTGCCCGTCGCTGCGCCGGAGCCATCTTCGACCGCCAAAAAAAGGTAAAAATTCTCCTATCCGCTCAAAATTTGATTTTGAGCAACCCCATGGCCAAATCATAGCAAAAGGAACAATGGTGAGCCAAAGACTGCGAGCAAAGTCTGAGATGCTGCTGCATGCAAAACCCAAAACCTCCTCCAATAAGCTTCTTCTTGTTTCCTGTTTCGTGCGATTTTTCCATCATTGTGTTCACTGTTCTGTTTTCTACAGGTTGACCGAAGAAAAATGCTCAGCCGCGAAGGTGAGCCGGCGGAGCCGTCGGAATGAAAAATTCTGCCACTGGTAGGTTTATATTTTTTTACTTTTTTCGGCCGATTGAGGTCCCCTAACGTGTTTTCTGGCAAGGATGGATATAAAACCTGCTGAAACCAGGCCAAACTGGCTGAAAACGGCCAAGCCGAGGCCGCAGCGGTGTCGCCGTGCTGAAATTCTAAAATTAGCTGGAAAAAGTTTTTAACACCTATTTTGAGTTTTTTAGAATATTTTTAGGTACGTGAAGTGTGTTTTAATCTCTGCAGAAAAATTCAGGAAATCCGGGGACCGCCAGTAGGTGTAGTAAAAAGTTTGGTATTTCATACACCAATTCGAGTAAGAATCCCTCATCTTATTCTCTGTTATGGAATTGAAGCTTAATAATCGGTAACATGGTATTTTGTATAATTTTGAAAACTTTGAGAACAATTATAGGTTACCAATGGAGCTGAAAACCGAGTAGTCATTTATTTATAGTCCTATTTAACTGATTGTTGAATTTACAGCTTTAAATAGATGATGATATACTAGAATGTTTAAATGATTCAATTGTACGTCCTTGATATATATATTGCTTGTCTTGTGTGATTTATAGTTGATTGTGAAATTTGAAATTAATATGCAAATGAAAAATTGTTTGGTCATATGAATTAATGAATTGTAACCTTATTGGATATCCTGAGGGATGGTGGATGGACCGGATACATAGAAAACCCTACCGTAAATGTTGCCTCATACCAGACGGGGTGTCGAGAAATGGTATTTTTTTGCACTCATAGCGGATGGGGTATCGGGATGGCCCGATTCACCCTCATACCGGACGGGGTATTGAGGGATGGTATTTTTGACGTTCATACCGGACGGGGCATGAGAGCGGTTGGTTAGTTAATAATGTTGGATATTGGTTCACGCGTAGTGAGATATCCTTATAAACCCCCAAGGATACCAGTAGACATCATTACATTTAATTTAATGTAAAATTATTGAAAAAATAGGTTGAGAACGAAATTAAAAATAATTTTGAAAAAAAAGAGTGAAACATTGGGTTCAGATTGTGTTTTTGAAAGAAAAATCAGAAACTGAGAGTCAGAACGCAATTTAAGAAAATTACGCCATGTAGGATTGCCCAGTCAGCAGCCTCGACAAACCGGACCCCGCTGCGTGGTAAGGCACGCTGACTTGGTGCCACGCGGGAGGCCACATTGGCAATCCGCGTGTCCTGCAATCGGATGGTCCGGAGTGTTCCCGCAAGCATGG